TGCGCCCAACCTTCGGTACAACAGACGGCCTTTGCGTAATGTTGAATGTTCCTCTCGGACGTGACGGGAATGGCAGTGATGGGGCGGGGCGGGGTGGTGTTCAGTTGATCTGCAGGCCGCAGGGTTTGCAATCGGGCTTTCTCCGGTTTCGTGTGCTGCCGCCGCCCCTTTGCGTGCTGCACCGTCCCATCGCCTCGCGGCCCGGGCGTGGCGGGGCGTGGCGGGGCGTGGCGGGGCGTGGCGGGGCGTGGCGGGGCGTGGGCGGGTGGCTCCCACAGGAACCAGGGCGCGCCCCCGTCGTGCCCAATGAGGCCATTGCGGCGGACAATGGTGCCGACCTTCGACCCAGTTCTATCGGCGTCACCCCTGACGACTTCGATGTCACCAACAACGCGGAAGAAGAGACGGGACGCGCGCGCGCCATTCGAAAAACAAAAGCACACCGCCACTGTGGCGTGCATTACAAACACGCAGAGCGACGGTGGGCAATCATCACGAAGTTTATTAGAGTAACGAGGTTGTGACGGTTGCGCTTCCTCGCCAAGGCCGAGCGAGACCGCCGTGGGAGAGACGGGCACCTCTGCCAATAGGCGGCCTACAGGAGGCTGCGAGGCACGCTGCTGCTGCCGGACCCGTCCCGCTCGACGTCCTTTGCGAAATGTATCGCTCCGGAATCTCAACCAGCAGCAGCAGCAGTCGTCGCAAGCCTGGTCCCTCGAGCTGCCCACACTGGTCTCCTTCCCCGCCTTCCATCCACTACTCTCCCCGCCCGCCTGCCTGGCCTCTGGCGCTCACATATCCAGAGTGCGCGGGCAAAAGTGCGAACCGAACGCAGCGTGTGAAGGAGGTTGTCTGGCGGCGGCTTGCGGTGGCTTGCGGCGGTCCCCCCCGGAGCCGCGCCAGTGCGCTGCAAGCGGCTGCAAGCCCCCCTGCGCCCGTGACCTTGCGCACAAGCAGTGGCACTGGGCCGGGCCGGGCGGGCCGCGAAGCTTAGCGCCGGCCGTGTCGGCGGCACGCACGGCGGGGGCGGGCGACAGTTCAGCCGCGATTAGAAGTAGAAATAGCGATGTAGTCGATCTGATCGATCTGCTATCGACTAAACGTTCCGGTAGCGGTGCCGCGCGCGGGTAACCAACCCGGTAGGTAACGCGAGCTGTAAGACACACCGGCGCCAAGCCGATCTGCAGCAAGGACAGGCCGGCCCTCCTTTCCTGTAGCCTCACCCTAACAAAAAGCGATTTCTGCCTGTTGGGTCAGCCATCGATATTTTATTCGTGTCGCAAAATCGACCACCTGTCACTTCCAGAGACCAACAGAAGCCCCCTTCAGCTGGCTGTTGAGCAGGCGGGGCGGACCCTCGTTCGGCCCATTCGATACATCGGTTTGAGGTCGACCAACGGCGGGGCAGTGGGAGGCGGAGTATTGAGGAGCCCACGCACGTTCAGCAGCCGCAATAAGAGCTTGAAAGCTGGTCCCGCCAGTGGGAAGCGTTACAGGCACATTCGTAGCAAATGTGAGACAGATTATTTGTCAGAGGCATGTACATAGTGGCTCGCCAGACAAGCGCGCCGCAACCGTCACAGCAGCGCGTACGCAGAGACCACTTATGGATCTGTAGAAGGGTGTGCCAGCAAAGCGCAGAATGGTCAACAGCGCCTGTCACACGATAAAGTAATAAAGCCCTCATTCACTGAGACCCCCTTTTGCACATGCGCGCTCGCACACAGAGCCGGCCGGCTAAGCCCCGCCACCCGCTGAGAACATCAAGCCGGCCCAGATGAGCACGGCAATAAACACTGAGACTCCCTCTCACATCTCAAGTACACGCTCGCACCGTCCGTTAACTGAAGGAAACAGAAAAAAATACACTATTTCAGACGTTAAGTACACGACTGTCTTTAAGGCACTTCTTTTTTTTTGGGGGGGGGGGGGATGAATAACAGTTATTTGCGTGGTTACTTAATCTACTTGAATTCCTAGTCATAGGACCTAATGAACAATTTGTCCTTAATCAGGACTGCTGATTAACCAGAAAAGCCTAGAAGAAAAAGTACCCTCCATGCATGGCGGCCTTTCCATAAAAATACACAAGTTCGTGAAGCATATTCTTCCTTTCTTTTTCTATTTTGGTGACTAGAAAATTAATAACGGAGAAAAGAAAGTTGACAAACGGACCAAAAAAAATCAACGAAAACTGAGACAGCACTTGTTTATTAAAGTCCAGAGTGCTGTTTTTAGCAACTGCCGCCCTCAGACGTGGCCGGCCCGACGCGGCGTGGCACATAAGGCTTCCTGCTCCGCGAACGTTTCCCGATCTAATCGACTTGGACGGGTTGAACGGTACGACATACTGCACGCTGCACTTCTACAGTGTCACCTACTTTACAGACGTGAACCGTTATTATCACTATTCATATTTCTAATCATCAAATAATATTTAAATTTATTTGCGACGTCTCCATAGCCAAGTGCGGCAGGACGGCGCAGCGGAGTAATGCATGCACAACAGGGCTGTCACGCCATTCGGCCCGAGGTCGCACACAACCTAACCAGGGCAGAAACATAAGGCTTCCCACCCTCCAGTCGTTTTCGCGAGTTATCGCGCCCAACTCTAACGCAATTATCGTTAATCTCAAATCTCCACCGACGTGTCCTTCTCTCCTTTGGGAGTGCGGAGGCAGCAGCAGCACTTCTGCGGGTGAGAAAGCATCGAGATGTGATTTCACCGACGCCTTGAGCAAGCGTGTGTGCAAAGTAAAGTAGGAATGTGTGCGTGCGTGCGCGCACGAGTGTGGCCTAAGCCCGTTCGTTCTTTAATTGAGCAGAATGGGTTTGCATTTCAATGCACTTCGCTGCAACTCCCATTCGCTCTAAATATAAATCCTAATCTACTTACTCGAGTATCCCCCCTCCCTACCAACCCTACTACCAAATGCTCCTTCCCTCAATATAGAAAAATAAGACACTCTTGATTGTTTTGTTTCTTAACGCATCAAGGACACGCGAAAACACACTCGCGTAACCAATCGATTTGCAACAAACTATAACGAACGACGACAATGTTATCGCCCATCATTAAACACACACAGCACTACCGTCAGGAGCGGGGGGCTGTCGTCATTATTCCCAGATCTGGGTGAAAACACGTCGAGGCGCGGCCCGGGCGGCGGCGGCTGCTGGAACGAAAAACGGACGACCTTGCCCAAGATGCGGATCGGACGGACAAAACAGACCAGACTCCACCCACGCCTTGGTGCGGCGGGCAACCCCGGGGGGGAGCAGGGGGCGAGGGGGCGGAAGAGACAGGGGAGCGGGAGGGGGCGGGTGCTCGGCGACCAGAGGCCCCCGGCGGCGGCGCGGCGGCGTTCCGCATGTTTGAAAATGCTCCCAAGGCAAGCCGGACGGGTGCGGGGCGGGCGCGGGGGGCCGAGCACAGGTATCCAAATTAAATCATCGTTTCCCGCGTTTCCGAGCGTACCCAGTAGTGCAGACGGCGGCAGCAACAGATGCGCGTGAGTCGGCTAGCTGTGCGGTCAAAAGCAAAAGGGCTGCTATGGCTGACAATTCACTCAAACTTTTGTAAGACATCAATACGCCATTGTGCAGTATGCCCAGAGGGATTCAGCCTGGGGAGCGAGCGAAACGAAGGTGATGCAGATGTAAGACGTCTTTAAGTTGGGGAGCAACAGTTTCCTGACATTTTTCATACCGTGGTCCAGACCGACCAATATGGTCTCTTCGCAGAGAAACTACAAAATCAATTTGTTATTTTACTCTTCCACGGGCTGCGAACTGTCCGTCTAAATTCACCCCCGGCCATAGTTAACAGCGGTACTTACTTTGGCCGGCACCTCCTCCTGCTCCCGCCCTGCTCCGCGAAGTGCCCCGCAAGCCGACGATGACGTCCCGCGTCGCGCGACCGCGAAGGGCACGACGGCGAGAAAGGGGAGAAAGGCGACGCGACAAGAATTTGAAGCACACTTGCAAGTGGTCGACTAAGGTTAACAAACACGAAGTTTGGCAAGTGTTTAACTGGGAGTTCCACACTTTACAGCGTTGAAGGGTTGCACACTTGTGTGCAACAGTGCAATAAAAATCACATTGATAGTTAACGATAAAAGTATTAACTCTTTCGGACACCAGAACTCCTTTTTGTTGATCATGATTAAATGCGCATTTAGCATTAAAAATGGCACTAGGCTCTGCCTTTCTCCGCGATAACAGACGGTAAAGACGGTTCTTTTGATGTCGAAGGACCATCGAACCGATTCAAAGTCAGGGGGTAGGAAAAACGTGGCGTCCTTCATCGTTGGCCCGGTATAGGAGATACCGTGCCGGGCTTTCAAGTTCCGCTCCCCGCTGCGACGTGTTCCCCTCCTCCTGTGCGACTGTCGGGGCGCCC